CCTGGGTCTAAGGTGGGGTGGCGCAACACTCCCGCGGCACCATGTCATCCGGCCAAACGCTGCTCCTGCCGGTCCCGCACAAGGCCCTGCTGGGCAGAGAGAGGGGAGTAAGATGATCGCCAAACTCGCCCTGGCAATAGGCGATGTTCCCAGGCTGTCAAAGTTAACCTCGCAGGAAATCCAGTCATTCCTCACCATGATAGCTTGTTCTTCTTGGCCTGTGCAGGTACTGAGTTTCGAGTTTTTCAAGGTTCGGGCCATCGACTGGGCTCTTGAAAAGAGCAAGCAGGTCAACAACTGCGGCCAAGAGTGTCTTGGCTCCTCGCTCGGGGCCCTTGCTGAAAAAGTCCTTTTCGTGAAATTCCTTCGAGTGCAGCACCATTCTGGTTTGAATAGAAGCTCTGTAGCAACCGAAAGTACCAGAGGAGATTCACAGTCTTGCCCAGGCCGAGAGGTTGGACTCTCTTTAACGTGCAAACCCGCCCCCACTCAAACCGTGTGAAACCCAGAGACTCGGACCCCCCAGCATGTTGCTGAGCCGGGACTCCTACTAAAGAGAGTCCAAGTTGAGCATGATGCAAGGTACAGAATAGCAGTGTGTGCACGCTGCTCACTGCAGCCGGGAAAACAGAACAGAGAGGCACTCGGTGCAAGGACGTGTCGCCCTACCAGCGGAGCAGCAAAATCGCTCAGCACCTCCGTGTGCGATGACAGAAAGACCTTCGATGACGTGCAGAACTTAAAAAGCTCGTATTCACCCTGAGCACCTGTCAAGCTACCCTCATGAGACGTATGTCCCCAAGGTGCAGCTGTCAAATTCATTTTCCTGCCGCTACAGGTTCCCCAAACAGCGAGCCACGCGCCACCGCGCGGCGCAGACGAGGAGCTTGCGAGTCGCATGGCAGATGCGTTTCTGTTTGGCTTCAGGTTTTTTTGGGTGTCAAGATGTGTCAAGGCTTCGGAATTTAGTTTTCAGAAGGCTGGCAATCTTTCGCTGTCTCATTGAAGTTTGTTGGCTGCCGGCACTTGCTTGCACTTGCTGGCTCTTGTAGCATTGACCTGACACTTGCAGGGTCCAAGATGGCATTGACACACCTCAGCAACTGACGCAGAAGCTGCGAAACACGTATTGAGACTCGACTGTGTCTTAAATTCTGTACTACTTTGTACTACTATGTATGTACTACTCTATTCGGGTTTGGGAAGTAGAGGTTCGCTCCATGACTCCATGCCACGCTGTCCAAGGCCTGCGCGGCTCCCTCGCGGGCGCAGCTCCAGCCGGGTCCTATTCGAAAATTCGACTGAGTGCGATGTCCCAAGGGTGTGCGAGGACGTGCCAGGCGCTGGCAACCGCTACTTGCTCTGGCTGAGGTGGACTTGGCAACAGGAACCTCGCGCAGCAGCGGTCCCAGAGTCATGTAACAATGCAGAGTCATGCAAAGTAACTGTGTGAAGACCCTTTTGGTGTTTCAGTTGCTTTCGTTTCCCAGGCTCGACGTTTGGACTCCGGCGACGGGACTTGGGCTCAAAGGAGTTCAAGTTCGTCCCCTTTGAGGCGCATGAGCTGTTGCCGCAAGGTTTGTGGCAGTTTGTGGGTGTTTCGGGTTTTTGCACGCTGCAAGATACCAGCAGACAACAAAAATTAGCTGTGAAGCATGTGAAGCTTGCTTGCTACAGTGCTACTCAGCCAATGTCGTCAGGCTGCCCTGGATGCACGTGTACTGCGACCTCTGTCTCGCATCGCTGAGACGGCCGCAAGGCGAAACATGGAGTAAAATAGCGAACATGGTAGGGCCGTAAACCACCATGAGGCCTCGTGAGCCGTACATGCCCCAAGTTTCTTTGGGCTGATTCCAGGCCCATCCTCTGGCGGGTTTTGCAAGATGAGAACGGCTTGCCAGGGTCTCAGAGCCCCCCCCGCCCCCCTTCGGTGGTCCGCTGGCCTTTCGAAAGCTCTGGTGGCTCTGGTGAGCAGAGGCTGCAGCATCTGGCTGCCATTCGGCTGGTGGCCTTCCTCGAGCGTGAGACCGCTGTTGGTGGACTCGTGAAAAGGATCGCTCCGACGTCAGTGGAGATGTTGCCGGCATCTCTTCAGACTTAACGCTGATTCTATTGACAGGCTGTACCACAAGCTGCAAGGATACCAGCGGGGCTTTGCAGGCCCGGCGCTTTACCTGTTCGCCTCAGGCAATGGACAGCAAGCAAACTTCGGAGTCAAGGGATCTACTTGTGCCAGTCGTTGCAAGATCTGCGCCGCTGTGTGCTTTGATTTGCCAGGCGTGGGGCCGGAAGAGTTGTCTCTGCTGACCGCAGAGGTTCGTGCAGCACTAGACACGGCCTCAGCATGCCCAGATTCCAGCGCGGAAGTGTTACGAAGATATTATCAGTATTGGAAGAAGTTCCCCCCCCAAACTTGCGGGATGCGAGCAGTTTCCAGGCTGAAGGCCTGGAGTCCGTGGCTGGCTCGCAAATTCGGCCTCAAGCTCGGCATCGCGACCCCTTTTCGGGACGCGGTGAAGAGCTGCAGGTGCCTTTCGTTGTCCTCAGCCTCACCGGAATGTATTAAAGTTACGATTAAACGGACTTTCGGAAGTTTGAGATACTGAAAGCGGGGCCCTGGCTCAATGCAGGCTGGAGCCGTGGCGAAGCTGTGCTTGCAGAACCTATCTATGGACATGTCAAAGGGACCTGGCCTCAGCGCCTTGGCAGCAATGGCTTACAGCAGGGTCGGATGTTGCGCTGCTCTCACAATCTCTCACACTACATTCCCATTTTTGAGGCGTGGATCCCTTCACCTTGTTGGATGGGGTCAAGCTGGGCTATCAGTCACCTACGCCGCTGCCAGACATTCTGGACCCTGCGGCACTGGAAGCTTGGACTCAAATTGGATTCTTAGGGCCTTCGGCTGCGGCTAAACAAGCCACCCGTGAATCCAAGCTCCTCATGAAAAGAAGCCATGGCTCGTCTTTTGTCTAGTTCTGCTTTGGCACGCTAGCCGGTGACTGGTAAATTGCGCGACCTCATTGTCCCCCGCCCCCCGCAGGAAGGGTACTCAGCGGTGTGTGCACTTCTTCTTCGACTTCGATGTGCCAGCCAAGCTCTACAAGAGGTCACTTGTGCACACAGAGGGGCAAGAAGTGTGCTGGGTTAAGCTTGTGTGTTTTGGCATGTTTGCGTGGTGAAGAGCCCTCCTGTGTGCACATATGTCTCGATGGATCGTGTAATTCCTGCGGCTGCAGTCTTCTACAGCGTTGTTGGCTTCCTTGAGGTTCACCAGCTACCAGTATTCGGAGCCTCTGGCATGTTTGGACGCGAAGGGGCAGAGTGCTGCACAAGTCCTACCAAGAGATTCAATACTGAGTCACGAGCATCCCTTGATGACAGAACCGACCGGGGGCTTTGCTCAACTCTCCTATTTATGTGGCCCAGTGGGGTCCCTTTGTTCTCTTCTCCCGTTGGGGGCCGCTTGCTTGTTTCAGGCTTTGGTGGCCGTGGTGCCCAGCGCACGCCTCTCGCAGCCCTTCAGAGGAAGGCCCGCAGGTTTTGAAAAAGCGCTGGGTTGCAGTGGCCAAGAAGCTGAGTTCGGTGGTCTCAAACTGTGCTGCACCACGGCTTTCTACGAAACCACCAACCGTGGTGAATTGGTTACAGTAATTCTCCCCAATGGCGCACGTGCACACTAACGCCTCTACACGTGCCTGCGCCCTCGCCTGCGCCCATGTTCATTCACCCGTAGACTGCTTGTCTAAGTTGAATATCTCAAGGTTGAAATTGATTGAATATTGAGGAGTGGATGGAAGCTTCTGTAGCCGTGATGGAAGCTTGGCTTCCCTAGACCTGTCAATACCTGTGCAAAGGTTACAAGATCGATTTGTTAACATTCTTACATAGGAAATGCTAGAGGCGTAAAGCAATCGTAGCAGTTGCCTGTTTCTCTGTATGAGGTGGATTTGCTTCGCGCAGAGCTTGGGCTCGGACCTCGATGCGAGACAGAGTTCGAGCCATTTTAGCACCGACGTGTAGCACGATGCCGACATTGCCGCGAATTTTCATGCCAAGGCACTTCCTGTCCTGCCCGGGCCCAAACTCACATCGAGGGTAGATGGGATCAAGCAGACTCAAGGTGGTCTTCGGCAGCTCGAAGCATCGCACATGAGTCACATGAGTCATGAGTCACAGCTGACGGCAATGCTACTCCTGCCCAGCCTTACAAGGGGAAAGCTCTCAGAGGCACAGCTTGGTCCACCCAAAGCCCCAAAGCCCAGCCCAGCAGGAGTCTAGAGGAGAGGAGGAGGAGGAATCAGCGGGTTCAGGTTTGGAGCACTACGTCCGCGTCGATATCCTAGAGAAGGCAGGTGCCCCAGCAGAGACAGATGCTGAGCTTGGTTCTGGAATCCCAGAGCCTGCAAAGCACGCTGTCAAGTTTGAACAGTTTAGGGCTTAGGGTGAAGAGCACAAACCAGTACGTCTCACTCCGAGCCGATGTTCCAGACTTCAGTGTTTGTCGCAAGGAGTCGATCGTCCTCGAGCGGCAAATCGCATCCCTGGTGACCGAGGTGCCTTCGGTAGTACAGTGCTTAGTACAGGCCCCTTTTGGTCCCATTCTGGCAGCCCGGAGGCGCTTGAAGGCCAACTCACTCTCGGCAGAGACGAGGACGGGCAGCGCAACGTTCTTGTGAGCCTTCCGGCCAATCAACGGCAACTGTGAGTGGCCTTTTTTTCGAACCAAAGGGGAATCAAGCTTGTTTGTGAGCACCAGTCTTGATTCGTTGAGAGGAACCTCTTCGCACAGTGGACATACTGCAGAGGGTGCGGCAGATGCACCGAGAGCACCTCCGGCAGATATTGCAGGCTGGGACCAGTGCCTGCCTTTGGAGGTTCGTCAGCTGCCGACACTTGCTTTGAGAGGACCCTGCTGCCAGAACCCAGAATGCGTTCCCTATCTTGCTCTGCGTCCTGTTGCGGATTGTATCGCTTGTTCTCATCCGCACCCAGCAACCAGTAACGTCACGCCAGAAAGAACACTTTTCGTGACTGCACCACAACCACGCAACCACTGCGTCACAGTGCGTCCAGGAGCAACACGTCTCCATTGGCTCCATGCATCGATGTTCATTTCTTGCGCTTCTTTGGCCCCTGCTTTGGGGAAGGCCTGTCTGCTTGTCCCCGACCTGAGCACGGTCCTTGCAGATCTCCACCAGCTGCTGGCCATGGCAGTATGATCCCCAGATAGCTCACCACCGACCTGGTGCCGATTGGCAGCGTGCAGCGTGCTGCAGCATGCCATTGAGGTCCGCCTCAAGGACATTCTGCAACAAATGCCTGGGGCTTTGGCGGTCAGAGCAGCCATCGGCTTGTGCGGTGGTCCTGCATGCTGGGCTCTGCTGTGAGAGGGCTGCTGCACATGAGAGCCCTCGAGCCCCAAATCGAGGCTTCAGCAGCTTCAAACGTTTGAGTCAGCAAGGCAGGCTGAAATTATTGCCTTTCGGCATTGGGTTCAGGATGCAGCCAGAAAGCAGAAGGTATCATGATTCAACCAGTTATGTTGCTTCAAGTGGGCAGGCAACGGCCTTCTGTGGAGTCGGCTGCCGTGGAGCAGGCCACCCGAAAACTCATGCGTTGGACCAAGTGCTCTGGGCAGTTGCCCTCAAGCACTGGCAACAATGCGAGGTTTATTCAGCTCATCTAAGCCTAAGACGCTGATCTCCCGGCAATCGGAAAGAAGCAGTCAGTATTGTTGGATGTCTGGTCCGGTGCCTCCTGCGATCCGGAGGCACTTGACGCTGCCCAGGCTTCTGCCGCTTCTTCCTCGGCGTGCTGTTTGCTCTTGCTTGGAGTCTGCAGGGGTGGCCCTAAACCCTAAACCCTAAACCCTAAACCCTAATCCCGTTGGCAGATCAGGAATTTCACATGAGGGGTTGGTGTCCGGCCTTGCCCAGGATTTGGCAGCTGCTGAAGGTTTCGAGCCGGAGAATCAGGTTGCAGCCGCAAGCTTAGCGGCATTGGTTGGGAGTTTAATTTCTTATTTCCATTTCATGACATTTGATAAAAGACCCCTCGCCCGGCGCCTCTCCCCCAGTCCTCCTCCCCTTCTCCTGAGCGTTCTGCGGTTCCAAAGTCCAAAAAGCCTCTCTCTCTCACACACACTCACACTCACACTGACACTGGCACTGACAGTGACACTGACACTGACACAAACAGCTCAGCGCGCGAGCCAGCCGCGATTAGGACAACAAAGACGTTGCTGGCATCCTCTGACAGCAAGTTATTGTGACTGAGAGCTACTGGCAGCGAGCAAGATGTTCGCCTTGTAAGCCGAGGCCGCTGCCAACGCCGCCGCTGATGCCGCGGGTTCTTTGAACCTGCCGATGGGAGCCCAAGTCGCCGTTGCTGCGGTGGCTGCTGCCCGGATTGCCGTCGAGCTCCAAATGTCCCAGGATGATGCTGCTGATGCAGCAGCATCATGCTCAGAACGAGTGACCCAAGCCATGGGACAGAATGCCGACGTACAGGCTCAGGCAGCAGACGCCGCAGCTATCATCGCTGGGTACCTTGTGGCATCTCATGTGGGCGAAGGCCCTATTGCAGCTGGCCTCGAAGCAGGCAGAGCCATGAGAGCTGCAGGCAGCACCGCAAGAGAGCAACTCTTAGCAGCTGGAGATGCTGCCATGCACGCCGCTTCTGCTGCCAATGTGCCCACAGAGCTGCAGCTCGTGGCTGCAGCAACTGCCATAGGTCGCACTGCAGCAGTGGGACGCATCCGAAGCTCCAGAGTCGAGTATTGCAAGCTCATCACCGAGCTTGCAGAACAGGCGAGTACAATGCCTGGCCATGGAACGGATGAGGCGACAACAACGGCCTTAAGACTGGATGTTCCCCTTTGGTTTTGCAGTAACCCGCGGCAAGCCAGCTTAGCCTCGTGTTGGCCTCCTGCACTCCAGTTGCAGTTTTTTTTCGCAGCGTCAACAGGCGACACTGGTGACTGCAGCAGAGGCTGCAGCTGTGCAGGCCGGGGACCTTCAGTTCTTTTCGGCCACAGTTGGAGTTGTGGGTGCCTGACTGTGCCTGAAGCATTAGAGCCAACCAATGGCTCTCCAGCTTTGGCCTCTCCCAGCGCCAGGATCCCAACATGAGCATCGAGGAAGAGAGCCAGGACCGACGGTCATCAAAAGTTCTTGACAAGGCTGAGAGCCTGCGCACATGGAACTTGGCATGCCATCGCAAGGGGGGTGGGGAGTGACGACTGCGCATGGCTCCTACAGTAGGATCTGGTTTTAAAAGATTTATAAATGCTCGACCGTTTGTCAATTGTTCGGAGCAAGCAGAAGTTTTCCCATGATGCTATAGAGGAAACGACTTCAGGTCTTCCTGTCACTAGTAAGAACCAGGACCTTACCTGTCAAAAGAAAAGCAGCGCATTGTACACACACGCGCGCACCACCTCGGCAGCCGAACTGGCCCAACGCGCGCTGCAGCAGGCGCAACGGTCCTAGGGGGACCTGCTTTTTAGTCAATGCAATGTGGGAGGAGCCCACAGCCCGACCATATCAATCTTATGAATCTTCGGCTCCTCCGGGTGGTTTGGGCAGGTCCTACTGAAGGGGTGGGGGCGTGCAGAAAGTTTCCGGTTGGGGAAGCTGGAAGCCGAGGCGAATTTACTTCGAGCCTCCACCCCCCCCGCTACTGTAAGCAACGCCGGAGCCATCCCGTGTTTTGGGAACAGGCATTGAGGGAAACCTCTCCGCAGGTTGTTACGGTTGCCTCCAGGCCTCCAGGGACACTCGGCGGGATCAGACACTGCAGGGATGTTTTTTCTGGGATTCTGGGGGGTCATTGCCTCTGCGGGCTTTTCATACTGGGTGTGCGGGCGGGCATTCCAGGGATATGCAGCAGGACTCTCTGGGCAGGTCAGCGCTACATAGACCAGGTCAGGAGCACCGGGTGAGGAGGCGAGAAAGGTGGCGTGAAAAAAAGCCCCACACCGCAGGTGGGGCAAACACTCCACCTTATCGGAATGCCAGGAGATCCTGATGAGCGAGGTGAAGGACATGGAAGTTGAGATGCGGACGGCACGGGACGCTCCTTGATTGCACCTGCCCGGCTGCAAATACAGCCAAAGTTCCCTGGTCCGGTCAATAATAAATAAGCGTGAATTTGTCAGCTGTCAGATGTGAGCACAGACATGTTTCTTTGCACAGTCAATTCTGAGCGGCTGACCATGTGAGCTGTCGAAGGCTGCGGATCAGCAGGCGCAGGCCTCAGTGCGATGTGAATGCATCCTCCCTGCGCGCTTAAGTTTTGCTAGCGACGTCTGGCGATGTGTCTTGACCTTACTGTAGGTTTCTGGGATCCGCAGCGACTTCCAGCGTGGTGTTCGCACACCTGTCCTGTTCCATCAGCGTCGCGATCCGTACTGGGCTGCTGAGTTGTGGTATTCAGTGTGGTCTGTGCGATGGCATGACTTAAGCAGAGCTGCGCAAGTAGCAATGGCAGGCGGCAGGAGGCAGAAAGACAGCACGTAGTGTGTTCGCCAGGCTCCCTTCTGACAGTGCTCCGCAGCTCTGTCGCGCTGGGAACCCCACAGGTGTGGTATGGCTGTGTAGCTGTGTTATGATGTGTTATGCTGTGAAATTAGCGGACGGGTCCTGGCTTGGGGCGACTGCCATACATCCAACCCAAGATCCACTCCTAGGAGCATCCTCATCCCACATCGGCAAATGGCGGTGGGTTTTGGCAGAGCACTGGGTTACAGGGCTTCGTTTGCCGGGATTCGATCTTGGTTTCACGAAGGCCATCTCTTCAGCAGCCCGTTTTGTTGGTGCTCCGAACAGAACTTGCGTTATGGGGTTCCGGGAAATTTTATGGCCCCCGCCCCCCGGCGCCCAGAAAATTGCGGGGATGACCTTCTGGGTGTGTTTGGGCCGGGACACTTTCAATTTCGCCAGAGACTTCGGAACCCAAATGGCGAACTGCAACCCTTTCGGTGTCTCCGCGTGCCTGCGCTGCTCTTACCCAAGTGCCATGTGCTCCGGGCCGGAGAGCATACGAACATGTCACCACACTCAAAAGTCGCACCATGGTTGCCGGCCAAGTCCCGCACAGGCCTGGGTCCTGTGCACCTTCCGTGGTCCAAATCGTGCTCCCGCCAAGGTCTCCTGTGCAGTCTTTGAGGCTTGCGTTCGCAGTAGGAGCACTTCCATCACTTTCCTCCGCATCTTGGGGATCTTGGATGGGTTGGCTCTTGTGCGTCCGGTCAACTTGGAATGCTTTTGGGGAAAAATCTTGGACTGGTCTTGGCATTCTCTAGGAGTGCTTTCGGGGTGCTCTTGGAATGGTTTTTCAAGTGGCCACTTAGCTGCTGTATGAGAAGACCTAGTTTTCACGGCCCATGCTCTCAATCAGTTTGGACAAAGCTCTTTTTGTGAGGAGACTGACGTACTGCCCACAGATTGCTACTCATGCTGCTGCCTTCACCGGAGACCAGGTGAAATGAGAGAGCCTGCTTTATCAACCTAGAGCAGCAACGCTAGCAGATGCGAATATGAGCACCATGGGCCGTAGCCCACATGTCAACATGTCATCCCTCGAGTTGCCCGGGGCTTGGCCTGCGCCATGGCTACGGTCATCGTGGGCGGAGGAATCGTGGGTGTCACTGCCGCCCTCTACCTTTTGAAAAAGGGCAAGAAGGTGGAGTGTGCTATGCATAACATGGGTCAAAAGTACAATCCTTACAACCCACAATAAGGCAAAACACCACACACACATCAAAAGAGGGCAATCAGTTCTCGAACTACACAGCCTTCAGGTGGCCCTGGTCGAGAAGTGCGCCATCGCGTGCCACTCCTCCGGGAAAGCTGGCGGCTTTCTAACAGATGGAGATTCAGGTGGGAGATCCATAAACCAGTGGAGCGTGATCCTCCAATGTAGTAAATCCCTGATGTGACCCTTGATGGTTAGGGTACCAAAAAGGCCATAACTTTAACTCTACGCGACCTGCCTCTGTTGGGGCCCACAACCATGGGAGTGGCAAGGCAAGGTCGCCACAGCCGGAGGGAATGGACAAAGGAGCCGGGGTTGGGGAGGAGCTCGTGGCCCGAGGCCCCGGCGCCTCAGCGGATGTAGATCAGATGATCAAGCCCCCACGTATTTCAGACAATCTTGTTCCGCAAACACAAGATGACCTTCGACCCAGCAGAGCAGGCTGGCACAGCGGACCCATCGCACGCCTGGCCAAGCGCTCCTTCGCACTGCACGAGGTCGCTACGGTTTCTGTGTGAAGCTTCGGGTTCCGGATGGTGGGATTGGCTTGGGGGTTACCCGGAGGGGACAAGCAACCCTTGGAGATGTTGAGCCTGTTGGGGGCGGGAAACTCTTGCAACTCACCAGGGCCTGGATCAGATTCTTGAGACCTTTGACCTTCGACATCTTTGGCTTAAATTGTTTGAGTCGTTCTTTGATCCAAGATACGACTTCGCCTTCGCCCCTGAGAAGAAAAACCCAATGTTTCTTGCCCCAGGCAACCATGCCAAACAAAGGGGAACAACCGCGGGGAATATGATCTTGTTCTCGCTCCCCGTATCTCACAAATCTCAATGTTTCACGGGTGCACATGTGTCGGCGACTCGAGAGTTCTCTCCAAAATTTGTTTGACTGTGCGCACAACAGTTTTCCCGAGATTCCCAAATAGATTTGAGTGAGGTCAAACGGGCGTTGAGTCTTGAGGTTTGTCAACTTTGATTCCGGGGGGCGTATTCTCCTGTGCATGAAATCCGAAGACAGGAAGTATAGTGCAGGGTTGCCAGAGCGCTCACGCTCACTGCAGGAATTGGCGAAGGAGTTCGGAGCCGAAGCGATTGGCCACAGACGGGTGAAGTGTGTGGGCCAAGGGATGAGTAAGAGGGGCGTGGAGCCGGACTGGCTCGCCCCCGGATACCACAGAGACCTGGGCTCAGATGGCTTGACAAAGAGAGCTGTACGGCAGCTCAGCGTGGGCATGGTGATCATCGGTGCACAGATGATCACAGATGTGCAACTGAGGACATGGGCAATGAGAGTGGCTTGGCACAGGTCACACCATACAAGTTGATGGATACATTGAAGGACTCGATCGTCAAGCAAGGCGCGGACTCGTGCCACGTGGCGCACGGTGCGCATCAGCGAGTTAGCAGGTTCTGGAGCTTGAGCATTCGTCTGTGTTTTCCAGGCTGTGAGATCATCATTGGAAAGGCCATCGGTGTGGAGATGGAAGGTTCCACCGTGAAGGCTCTAAAAGTGAAGCAGGACCATGGCTGGCTGAGACCGGAGGATAGAACCCTCAATAGCATGCCATGTATTGCTAGCAAGCGTAAGACTGCACGCGGCCTGCAGCTGCCAGGATGGCAAGGGGGAGTCCTTGCTACCCTGTGCCTCTCTCATCCTTGGGATGGGTGCATGGGCAAGCGAAGCAGCCGAATGGTTTCCCGAGAGCACTCTGCCACAGCGGACTGTATCGAACCGATACACCAGTGTGATCTGGGATGACGTCGAGGTTGGGAAAGATGCCACCATGGTGTTCACAATGGGCGACGACCACACTGAGATCTACCCTCGAACAAACGAGTGCTATGCCAATGGCTGCCCCACGGACCCTCCTCTGCCAGATAATCCGATGGAGATTGAACCTCCTCAAGACGAGATTGACAAGGTCAAGGCTCGGCTTAAGTCACCCGGCATTGCCTTGAAGCATGGTACTCGTAAAGGAACGTGCTGTCAGAAGCCTCCCAGGTGGAGAGCATCGCCGCCGTGCCACGGCTGAAGAATGCAGCGGTCCTCCGCAGCACTGCCTGCTTCTTGGCGGGCTCCGATGACCATCGGCCAGTTGTTGGCCGTATCCCGAAGATCGAGAACGCCTCCCGTCAAGCAAAAGAAAAGGTGAATTGAGAAAGAAGAAGGACATGAGAGTCACACCTACCTAAGGCTGTCATCGCATGTGGCGGAGGCTGTTGGGGCATTCTGAGCCTCGGATTGATGGCTGCTAGCCTCCGGTTGGGACATCGTCCAGGCGGAAGTCCGGTTCGCGGGGCATTCGGAGCCTTACTTACGTTTGTTTCAAGGGCTCCTGCGCTACTCCACAAAGCCATCGTGAGCGTTCCGCTAGCTGCTAGCCGTAGACTTTGCTGCCGCAAGTGAGCTTGGTAAACCAGGATTCTTTTGCTGTCTGGAGCAGTGGTAGGGAATGGTAGGGACTTGTGCTGCTATACTGTGTTGAACATCCGGCTTGTAACTCTAATCTGAGAGGCTGCGACATGAACAACCGAGGAACGGCCCGGCCATGGGCGAAGCGGCTGCAGCCCTGGCAGCCGGGGAGGCCACGGAGTCACTAGAGCGCAGTGCTAGCACCCACGAACCAGTCTGGAATGTTGTGCATGCGTTTACGTCATTCTTTACCCCACACTTGCCGTACGTTAGCCCATGTTGCCGCATGTTGTCATATGCAACTTGTTGCACCAAGAGAGGAGCCACCGCTGGATATCTCGGCGTTTGATCCTATGCGCTTCGACCGGTCGCACCTGCCAGCCTTCATCAAGGGCCTGCCTCCGAAGCTCACAGCCCTTTGGCCTTTACTGTCACACCCCTCCCAGTAGGCGAGGCTGAGCCATGCATAGTGAGGCGCAAGAGGCTTGCAGCAGATGATTCTTCTGCATGTTGAACATCTTTTGCTGGGTGATGCTCATTCTTACGAGAAGGAAGCTAGAAGCAGGTGCGCATTCTAGGCTTGCTGCCTCAGCAGACTCAGGCCACTGAGTTGCAGCAGGCAGCTGGACGATTATTTCGGTCCTCAAATATCACAACATGCCTGGGATTCGATTCAGCTTAAACCCGACTCTGAAATCCCCAGTCCAACTATCTGAGCTGAGGCTTTGGTAGCTCAGCACCCGGAACTTGCTGCGCCCGGGATTGGCGTACAGATAGGGTTCCGGGTTGAGATTTGCGGTTTGGGCGTTGGGTTTGGATCTAGAGTTGTCAGAGCATACCATCTGGGTCACGCCATCAGGAGGTGTCCTGCGGATTTGTTGAGTATCAGCACAAAAGCAGGAGTCGGGGTGAGCAGTGTGTTTTCGCAACCGCTGTCGCCGTTGGGCAGATGACTCGGTGGCCACATTCTCCCCGGATGTCTGAGCAACCCTGACTCAAAGCGTACTGGTTGATTTCAATCGTTTGGATCTGAGCCACGTGACCGGTCTAAGGAAGCTTTGAGGCAAGATCCCGAGAAGATCACAGCACTCCTGTCGATGATGGAGGATTGAAGGCCTGCGACCCCGCGGGGGCAGTCGGACGAGGCTGGCCTGTTACTTGAGACCTAGTGAGAAGATCCAATTTGACTGGGCGCTGCGTTCATCCTTTACCCTGCTCAAGTGAATGGCAATGAGGTTGGCGCATGATGATCCTGACCCTGACGAGTGAAAAGCAAACAGGCGATCCCAGATCAAGCCAGCATTCGAGACTTGTCAAGCCCGATTTAGCCCGGAGCTTGCTGTCAGCAGCAGATCGTGTTGTCCGGGCGACGGTGCGTGGCATTTTACTTCCATCCGGTCCAGCACAAGTCTGGAACCCGCCGTGGTCAACGTGAACCCATGCCATCGATTAACGTGAAATGACGTGCTTCAGCTTACCGCTGCATTGATGCAACACAGCATAGACCTTGACATGAGTGTGACGAGTGTGCCAGGTGCTGAGCCTGTGTGCGCATCTGAACTTCAGCGGCTTCTACGGCGATCAAATTTGAGCAAGAAACGGCTGCTTCATGCGCTGCTCTGTTTCGGACTTTCGCACCGCCATCTTCTCATTGAAGAGGCACTGCCTCATGCAGCGAGGCATACTTGTACCATGCTGTGCCCCGTTCTCAACAGAACACCCCCCTGCTCACCACTGCTCTCTCTTTGCGGCCCGCAGTATCTGGGAAGAGGAGAGTAGAGGATGCCGCAGACCACCATGTGAGAGGCGTGAGGCCTCGAGGCCTGGAGGCCTCTATGCTTCATTTGGGCAGTTCTGTTCTCTAGCTTCCCTTTGCGGGTATCCGATATCCCAAAATTATGCCGGCGTAGACCCCAAACAGTGAGGAGGGCCAGAAAAGGCCAAAGAAGGCCAGAAGAGCACCGACACTATTGGGGACAAAAAGTACAAAAGTTCGCGGGGGGCCGAAATCCCTTGGGGGTCAAAAAGATGCCAGCCACTGGGGGATTCGGCTTTGCACGCGTGTGGAACTGGGGGGCCAAAAGACCCAGCTGATGCTCATGATGCTCAACCCCAAAATCGCTACCCCATAATACGCAACCTAAGTTGCACCCCCAGAAGAGGCCTCAAGAGGCCATGAGAGGCTGGCATTCGCGCGAAACCACATGACGCGAGGCTGGAATTCGCGCGAAACCATAGCGGGAGCATCAAAACGCAACGGAATTCGCGCGGGAGCGTCGAAACCAAGGCCCCGTCCCACCGCGCGCGCCGTTGCGGTCAGCAACCTAAGTGGCCCCCCCAGAAGAGGCCTGAAGAGGCCACAAGAGGCCGGAATTCGCGCGAAGATGCCACGAGAGGCCGGAATTCGCGCGAAACCACAGCAGGAGCATCGAAATGCAACGGAATTCACGCGAAACCACAGCGGGAGCATCAAAACGCAACGGAATTCGCGCGAAACCACAGCGGGAGCGTCGAAACCAAGGCCCCGTCCCACCGCGCGCGCCGTTGCGGTCAGCAACCTAAGTGGCCCCCCCAGAAGAGGCCTGAAGAGGCCACAAGAGGCCGGAATTCGCGAAGATGCCACGAGAGGCCGGAATTCGCGCGAAACCACAGCAGGAGCATCGAAATGCAACGGAATTCACGCGAAACCACAGCGGGAGCATCAAAACGCAACGCAATTCGCGCGAAACCACAGCGGGAGCGTCGAAACCAAGGCCCCGTCCCACCGCGCGCGCCGTTGCGGTCAGCAACCTAAGTGGCCCCCCCAGAAGAGGCCTGAAGAGGCCGGAATTCGCGCGAAACCACAGCGGGAGCATCGAAATGCAACGGAATTCACGCGAAACCACAGCGGGAGCATCAAAACGCAACGGAATTCGCGCGAAACCACAGCGAGAGCGTCGAAACCAAGGCCCCGTCCCACCGCGCGCGCCGTTACGGTCAGCAACCTAAGTTGCACCCCCAGAAGAGGCCTCAAGAGGCCACGAGAGGCTCGCATTCGCGCGAAACCACATGACGCGAGGCTGGAATTCGCGCGAAACCATAGCGGGAGCATCAAAACGCAACGGAATCCGCGCGAAACCACAGCGGGAGCGTCGAAACCAAGGCCCCGTCCCACCGCGCGCGCCGTTGCGGTCAGCAACCTAAGTGGCCCCCCCAGAAGAGGCCTGAAGAGGCCACAAGAGGCCGGAATTCGCGCGAAGATGCCACGAGAGGCCGGAATTCGCGCGAAACCACAGCAGGAGCATCGAAATGCAACGGAATTCGCGCGAAACCACAGCGGGAGCATGGAAATGCAACGGAATTCACGCGAAACCACAGCGGGAGCATCAAAACGCAACGGAATTCGCGCGAAACCACAGCGAGAGCGTCGAAACCAAGGCCCCGTCCCACCGGAATTCGCGCGAAACCACAGCAGGAGCATCAAAATGCAACGGAATTCACGCGAAACCACAGCGGGAGCATCAAAACGCAACGGAATTCGCGCGAAACCACAGCGGGAGCGTCGAAACCAAGGCCCCGTCCCACCGCGCGCGCCGTTGCGGTCAGCAACCTAAGTGGCCCCCCCAGAAGAGGCCTGAAGAGGCCACAAGAGGCCGGAATTCGCGAAGATGCCACAAGAGGCCGGAATTCGCGCGAAACCACAGCAGGAGCATCGAAATGCAACGGAATTCACGCGAAACCACAGCGGGAGCATCAAAACGCAACGGAATTCGCGCGAAACCACAGCGGGAGCGTCGAAACCAAGGCCCCGTCCCACCGCGCGCGCCGTTATTCACGCGAAACCACAGCGGGAGCATCAAAACGCAACGGAATTCGCGCGAAACCACAGCGAGAAACCAAGGCCCCGTCCCACCGCGCGCGCCGTTACGGTCAGCAACCTAAGTTGCACCCCCAGAAGAGGCCTCAAGAGGCCACGAGAGGCTGGCATTCGCGCCAAACCGCATGACGCGAGGCTGGAATTCGCGCGAAACCATAGCGGGAGCATCAAAACGCAACGGAATTCGCGCGAAACCACAGCGGGAGCGTCGAAACCAAGGCCCCGTCCCACCGCGCGCGCCGTTGCGGTCAGCAACCTAAGTGGCCCCCCCAGAAGAGGCCTGAAGAGGCCACAAGAGGCCGGAATTCGCGCGAAGATGCCACGAGAGGCCGGAATTCGCGCGAAACCACAGCAGGAGCATCGAAATGCAACGGAATTCACGCGAAACCACAGCGGGAGCATCAAAACGCAACGGAATTCGCGCGAAACCACAGCGGGAGCGTCGAAACCAAGGCCCCGTCCCAACGCGCGCGCCGTTGCGGTCAGCAACCTAAGTGGCCCCCCCAGAAGAGGCCTGAAGAGGCCACGAGAGGCCGGAATTCGCGCGAAACCACAGCGTTGCATTTTCGCGCGAAACCACAGCGGGCGAAATGCAACGGAGTTCGCGCGAAACCACAGCGAAATGTAACGGAGTTCGCGCGAAACCACAGCGGGAGCATCAAAACGCAACGGAATTCGCGCGAAACCACAGCGGGAGCGTCGAAACCAAGGCCCCGTCCCACCGCGCGCGCCGTTATTCACGCGAAACCACAGCGGGAGCATCAAAACGCAGCGGAATTCGCGCGAAACCACAGCGGGAGCGAAATGCAACGGAGTTCGCGCGAAACCACAGCGGGAGCATCAAAACGCAGCGGAATTCGCGCGAAACCACAGCGGGAGCGTCGAAACCAAGGCCCCGTCCCACCGCCGCGCGCGCCGTTGCGGTCAGCAACCAATTCCCTTTACCCTGAACGTAAGAACCCCATTGTGCAAGCACTGTTTGGGGAAATACTCGTATCAAATCATGGGTTGGGCCCTTTTATCGATTTGCCTATAACAGGGCACAGCCAGGGAGAACTGACCATCTGCCCAACACCTGCCTTTGACCCTCGCAGACCTCGCATCACACCGACAATCTTAGGCCATGGCCCAGAAGGGGGACTCGTGCAGTCCTCAGCAAGGGCCCCCCCCCCCCCCACAGCCCCCAGCGAACATAATTATTCGCGCCCCATCTGCGGTAAGTTTGTTCTGAAGACATGCCACCAGATTTGCCAAGACAGACGGCATGCCTGTGTCTCTTGGATCGAGGCACCATTTCGGCCCACGAGGTCAAACGGGCGCTGTGCAGGATACCACGGTGAGCCCCCCATGTTGCGATTGTCCATTGATCCTCCGTTTCTGGTCAGACGTCTTTTACCGAGCGGGAGGGCGGGATGAGGGTACAAGGCACTTTTCTGGAACGAACTTAAGGGTGAGTGGGACTGCTGCAAGATGGGCTTAGTCGACATCCACGTCCTGTTCAGGCCACGCTGGTTTCTGGCCTCTACCATGACTGCTCGGAAGGGGAGGGAGTTGCATTCACAAGGTTGCGGACTGAGCGCTGTAAATGGATGAAGCTGCTGCACAGGGGCTGCAGCCCTTCTCGCCAAGCTGAGTTTCTGTCATCTTCTTGCCCATCAGCGCCTCTTCTCGTTGGACTACGACCACACGTCCATGATCGAGGCATCTGCTGATGTTCCAATCGATTGGATGGGAGTGTGGTTCTGGCGTGAAGGCCGTACAAGCAGGTTTAACAGCCCTCAAGGGTGGCACACATTGTAAATGACAGGATGAATCGACTACAATATTGAATCATGCTTCAGAAGAGTGCAACTTTACGAGGTCTGAGCATCTTTCCCAATGTTCTGTTGTTGTGCTTCGTGGCTTGCCCGGGGGGGAGGGGGTGGGGCAAAGCACTCCAACTTATGTTTCAGGGTGCTTATGTTGTGCTGACCTCTTTTGGGTTGAGCGGTGTGCATTGCCATGGGCTGACATCACGGGTCGTGGTCCGACGAAACCGCGATGCCCGTTCAAATTGGTACAAAGTGCATGTTCGAAACCTGAAGCACACGGCCAACGATCAAAGCAAAGGATCCTCCTTGAAGAGAAGCCCCGCAATCGTGTTGGTTTGCTAAGTCGTGTTCGTGCGTGGTTGGAGAGGAAGCCCGTCCGACAGGTGTTGGCTGTTCTGCTGGCACGCACCAAAGCGAAATTTGCCGGTAGAGCAGCCATTACCCTTACCTCTTTCCGCCCCGCCCCGAACCTCCATTTCACAAAGCAACCGATGTTCGAGAATGTTTCCGGTCACTACTGGTAGAAACTTGGGAAGCTGGGTCTGATCTGGCCGATCTTACATATCTGTGGATCATACTGGTACTTTCCTCATGGCAAATCATACTGCCGGGCATGTTTTCATGTTGAAGACTGACAACGATTTCGTACAGACAGCCCTTTCCAATCTGGAGAGCCTCGCCTGGCAGACCTTCAAGCAGTACACCGGGGGCCCGCTCTATCCGGAGGAGATTTCGAAATCCTGCTTGCATGGAGATCTGTGAGATCAAGATTTCACCATGGCGAGTGGGCTTGGAAGGAGCCTCTGGATAGCAGGCTGCTCGACTCCAAGCAGTTTCGTCAGGCTCTGCAGGCAGCAGAGATGTATGCTGGGAGGGTCGAAGCATTCGCTTCAGCATGACCTCAACATGCTCGCGCTTGATGCGGTCTAAGATACGGAAGGGTTGTCGAAGGAGTGCTTTCCTTCACTTCGCCGCACAGCACCCCTTGAATTGATGACAGCATTCAGGCCTTGGCAATCGAGCACTATGGAGCTCACCATGGTCTCAAGAAGGTCTGCCTGCCACGGATGGCCACGGATCGGGAAGGGGGGGGGGGGGGCGGGGGCTGCATGAGCTGTATATCCTACGTGGGCTTGGCATGACAGCAGTATGACAGACACTTTGCCAGAATGCCGTGACCAGGCAGACAGAGACCTGGAGCGGCAGACAACAGAGTCGGCAAGGTGCCCAGCTGCTCACGGCTACTCGTGCTCACAGTCGAACAAGCAATCTACGGTATAGTGAAAGCGCGAAGGTTACGACGAAGAGCTTTTCTGGTGTTTCAAGATTGAGGTTGAAAATAGCTATTTTCCTCTGGAGAGATCTGCTCCTGTTGACTTTCGGAACTCGAGGAATCTTCAGAGGGCCTGTAGGGTTTACAGGAGTTTATAGGGGCTTTTTGGGCTGTCTTTGCTTGACCTCAGGAAGTTGGAAGCCGCCGTACAAGTGCCGCGGGAACATTGGACCGGCGAGCCAGCAGGATTGCAATAGCCTTTACGAGCCTCTATCCACCACCCTTGGATGAAAGCTCATGGGTTTGCCAGTTTTGCCGGTCCCAAGTGGAGCTACCATCGAAAAACTTTGGAGGAACGGGCTTTTCGCAGCCGAGAGTACCAACAAGATCGCTGCCCTGCAGGACCTGCTTGTGAGTGCTCATCCATGTACAAGTCAGCACAGCACACACACTGCGCACACACGCGCGCACGCACGCACGCACGCACGCACACACACACACACACACACACTCACAGAGACACCAGAGATCAACAGAGTGTGTTCTTTCAGATTGAGGCACTGCCAGGTTCCTGTTCCCACACACTGTCCTGTGGCCAGGACTTGCTGCGAGATGTCAGCCTGCGCAGCAGTGAGATACCCTTCAACATCAAGACAGCACCTTGAGCGGCACAGTCACACCTGCCGTGCCTTGAAGGTCATTAGGCTGCATGGATGAGATCTCGCCCTTGCCATCATCCCAGCGGCTCAGAAAATGCTTCCGAAGTTTGCGCCCCGCCATGTGCTGGAGGTGGGTACGAAGGCATGTTGTGACTGCCTGTGCCCTCTTGATTGTCCTTATTGTCCTTACTTTGGTCTTCTCGGCGGAAGCGCAAGGATCAAGTTTGCTGCCGGAGCTTTCTGGTCTGAAGCCGCTCTCGTCAAAGGCGAAGCAGGCCGACGCAGGCAAGCCCTCGAACTTCACGACAGGAACTACAGGAACTACAGGAACGAGTGTTCAGGTGGCATCTGGAGTGGTCGCCGCGAGCCCATTCAAGGTGCCGGATACTGAGCCTCCCAGAAGTCAATTCTTGCCAGTGTTCCTGGAAGAGGAAGTGCTGCAGAGGAACACTTACCCGATAAAGTTGATCCCTACATTCGATGGACAGTGGACGGTGGATGATCCAACACAAGCTGTCTTCTACATCGTGTGCTGCGGCCCTCTCGATCGCATGCTGCATCTGCCGCTACGGACGCCCGAGCGGCCCTACTTGTGTTACGATTGTGATGCTGTCCTTGCCATCGACAGGCCCTTCCTGAGAGACCCTACAAAATGGTGAAAGCAAGTAGGCTGATGCCCGGTAGCCGCCGTTGTTCCGTTTGATGGATGAAGATGCAGCACTGTCAGCGGAATTGACACAGAAAAGTGGGCAACTAGGCTGGCAGGTTGTGCAGTCTTGAAGGCATGGAAGCACCAAAGAGGAAGGATGCATCGCAATCCTAAACACCAGAGCAACTCCTACAGACGAAAGCCAGGAAGCCCAAGACCCAACAAGTCCAGGCCAAGCTCAAGCTAGGGGCCATTTGTCGAGGGGGTCAAGGAGGTATTTGTGCATTGAGAGGACCCGTCCAGTCCATATCTGCTTGCTTGCCCTCCGACATCCTCCGACCAGATCGGAAAAGCACAACCAAAAGCTGCCACACTTGCGCAAGACCTTAGCGATCTCAGGTCCTTTTTCGGTCACTGGCACGATTCCTTGGGTGATTGTAGTGTCGTACATGAGGTTATGATTGACATGTTGGAGTGGGTGTTAAATTGACCGAATGAACCCTGCAGGTTGGAAGGGGGCTGCTGGCAGAACTGCGCTGACATCTGGGCTTTGCTGTCTCGGCGGGACTTCATGTTTGCGTCGTCCGATCTGCGGTATTGGGACAAGGGCAATGATTCGGCACTGCCCTTGCCTGGTGTGACCTACGCTCACCACTACCCAAGGCCAGAGAAGCTGCAAGCGCTCAGAGTGCCACCATCGAATCCACCGAGGTATTTTCTGACCTTCCAGGGGCTTTGGAATGTTGGGAAGGGTGGCACATGCTTTGTCCGCCTAAATATGGCCGCCATTCTGAACAGTACGAACAAGTTACCAAAGGCATTGAAGAACTCCGCCGGCGAGCCACTGCCGCTGCCAACAAAGAGTTATGAACCTCCGTCAGATGTCTTTATATCGATTGCAGGCGAAACGCACAACTTAAAGGAGCAAAGGAACTACTATTCGTTGTTCGATTCTGCTTACAGCCTTGTCCTGCACGGGCATGGCCGATGGAGTTACCGGCTGATGGAATGCTTGAGTGGAGGAGCGATTCCCGTCATCATGGCCGAAGGATGGAGTCTTCCTTTTCAAGAGCTTATCGATTGGGAACAAATCTCCGTACAGCGGCCAGAGTCCATGGGCCTCGATCCTCAGGGTCTCGTTGAGAGCCTGACTCGTGATCCTGAAAGGATAGCAGCCACTCGAAAGCGTGTTGCGGAGGTCTTCGAGAAACACCTTGGGACATATCAGAGCCGACTCACTGCCATGCTCCGGGCCGCCGCCCTGTGGAAGCAGGACTGGCGGGAGCGGGAGAAGGGGACATTGAGGATGCTGGCAGATGCCTTCGCGGTGCAGCGACCCGACAAGGTGTTGAGCTACCTACAATCTGCAACAAAGCCGCCAGAGGCAGGCACTACTTCATAGCAGGAAGGAGCTCGAAGCCAGCATTGCCAATGTCACCCGTGATGGGGCTGTACCTGCATCAAGCCGGTCGCGGGTCGCGCAGGTCCAGGGAGCAGATTTGTGTACCCTGATTTTACGGCAAGCTGCTGTCAGCCCGCTCCATCGCATGCCGCGTCTCCCGCAGCGGTCGCCGCACCACTAACCCTGCTTTCTGCTACGATTTCGATGAGGCCCTCGCCATCAAGGGTACCTTTTCGACAGCCAAGCCCAGACTTGCCAAGACGAAGAGGCACAGGATGGCACAGGTTTCGAGGGATCTAGGAGTTCGCATTTAAGTTACAAGTGCCATTGGTAGATGAAGTTTTTTGTGTCGGTTTGTTTTTTTCCATGCGTTTTTGGCAAAGGTTCAGGCGGCCGAGCCGAAGGGGGTGCACATGCAGGTTAAAGTCGCTACTCATTTGCTCGCAGAATACTACTAGCCACCATCTTTCCCGCCTGCGTTGACCAGGTTTGGAACGGGCTTCTTGCACATTGCCGCTGCAGCTGTTACGATCTGTGACTATTGGAAGGGTCCAGATGTGCACGTGAAGACATCCAACCAGTGGCCGCGCCGAAGCGTGTTGCAGAGGTCGGGAAACACCTTAGCGGACCTTGGGGGACACATCAGAGACGTCTCACTGCCATGCTCCGGGCCACCGCCCTGTGGAAGCAAGACTGGTGCGGATACCGGCAGATGCGCGGTGCAGAGACCTTGCTAGGCTCGTGCACCGCCGCAGAAATGTCAGTGCACGCTCTTTTAGTGTTTTGGGTTTGGGCGGGTCTTATGTGCATCTCAGGCCAAGAAAAGATGGACAGTCCTGGACAGTAGCAAGGGCTCGACATCAAAACAGCACTAGCGCAGACTGCCATGCTATGTGTCCGAGCTTACGGGACTCCAAGTAGTAATGTGAGCAGCTGTTTGCATCAACTTAGGTTTATCCAACAACATGGCCTGCCTGTATCTGCTTGTCCTAGGTCAGTCCGATGCGCTCAGCCCTCTTCGATGACGAGGCCAGCACCATCACAGAGCCACAGGGCAGGTAGTGGCTACAGTGGGGCTACACTGGCTCAGTCAAAGTATCACCTTAAGTCCAATGAGCATAGCCGATGCCAGGTCATTCAGGCTGCTTACCAGTACGAGAACGCTATCCGCAAGCTTTTCCTACAATATGTCTGGATCTGAGCACAGGAGTCACAGGAGAAGGCCCGGGCACCAAACACATTGGAGCACGTTCATGAGATGCCTAGGCCACAGGAGAGCGGAGCGCTTCCGGAGGGGTTACATTGACTCTGGAGGCGCAAGAAATCCCTTCAACTCTATTGAATCTATTGAGTTTTAGTTTGTGTGCCGCCATGTTTTAGTATTTCAAGAACTGGCAGTAGGGAAGCAGAGATTAGCATATTGACGTGCAGCCGGTTCTCGGCTTGAGGATGCGTCGTGGATTCTTGGGAACTTATGAGAAAAATGTTGAGATTCCGAAGAAAGTGAAGCGGACAGGAGCGAGCCGGTCGAGCCATCAGTGCCCGATCCATCTTTCGCCTGGCCCGCGCGATGCGTCTAGTTCCCGACTGCTTGGTTCCAGGCTTGGTAGAGTGATGGAGCTTGCTGAAGCAACTGATTACCTGTAATTACAATCTCGCAAGTGGTTCGTTTCGGTGTGTGTTAATCTTGTTGCCCTTCTGCAGAGGAAGCTTTCGTGGGTCGAACTTCCGGCCTGGCCAGGTGAGTTCCAAGATGTGGTGAATGGGCTCCGCTTCCACAGCCACCGCCCATGGAAGCGTTGAGGGATGTTGAGGGGTCGTTGAGGAGCTTGGATGTCTGGATGTCTCTGAGATGCTGCAGCAGATGTGCTCAAATGTGCTCAGCACCTGAGCCGCTGGAAACACAAGCCGTGGTAAGTCTGGAGTCTGGATCCAGGTGCATCTCGTACTGCGGAGAACCGCTTCTTCCAGGCGTGTCTGTCGCAAACTCGAATCGCAAAAAAAAACCTCGTAGATGATCATGGTTGGCCCGTTGGCCCGGCAGGTCAGAGCAGGGAAAGGAAAGGGATCCACGTCTTCCTTGTCAGGGTTCAGGTCAGGTCTTGGAAGCCTCGCAGGTAAATCAAGACATTGATCTTTGGGCTTGGAGTTCGGACTTGATGGTTACTGCAGTCAAGATGGTAACCAGACGTCACCATCAATGATTGGCATGATTCCACTTGCCAGGAAGGACGGATGTTGCAGCGAGAAGAGGCACATGGCCTCAGCTGGTATCGGGCGGTCTGCGAGCACGCGATGCCCTTCAGCAAATGTCAGTTTGTAAGACCGCATGTGTCGAGGGCGATGTGGTGTGGCGAAGGGCTCAGTCTTTCATGCAGAATGCAGGAGCCGAAATGGCACCGACCAGCAGAGGGGATGCTGGCTGGTGAGCCACGTGCAGCCGGCACAGCTTTGCCAAATGAACGTGCGTGCATTCCAGTATGCTTCAGGCTCTTCTAAGCACACGCTTGGTGAGCTGCAACTTGCAATTGCTCGATGTACCGCCTGTACTGTTAGAGAAAGGCCATGGCCTGCCAGGCTTCTTTTTTCCTGAGATGCTGGAGATCCTTGCTGCTGCCGCTGCCCAAGACAAGCAATGCGGCGACTCACACCGCCTTGTCAGAGCTGCGCCAAATTGTTTTGGAGAAGTTCGCAGGTTCACTCGGTCGGTTTGCATCAGCTCTGCATAGGTTTTCCTCAGCATAGGTAAAGGTTGGGGAAATGATGTCTCGAAGCCATGCGGTTCAGTTGAATTTGCAAATGTGGATACAGCACTTTCCAGTCGGCTTAAGCTGAAGAAGCAAGCGCAAAAGCGCGCGCAGGTTTGCACAAGCTTGTGCGTGTTCTTTTCGCGAGGGCAGTCCTTGTGTAAGGGGACTCTTCACGGCTCTTCAGTGACATGTGGCCTCAAGCACGGCATCTGAGAAGGCTGCCTTCCACACGCCTCCCCGGCTGTACGGCGAGCCTGTGCAGGACCGGAATGGTTCCCCGTCTTCAGTGTGGGGCAGTTCTAGGGCTGGCAGACCTCCCTCAATGCTCTGCAAAAATGGGTAAAAATTTAGCTGGAGAGTTCTGACGAGTGTACAGCCGGGAGCTGCGCAGCCAGGCTTTAGGGTCGTTTTCTGGCGCACAGTGACACAGGATCGCGTGGAGCGCATCCACGAGATCTTTGGCGACCTGCTTCAACTTCCGCGCGAAGAAGACGGACATGTTTGCGGCCCAGAGGGTCCGAAACAAGATCCATAAGACCCGCAAGAACCTGTCGAGTACTCGATGGCACGTACATGCAGCAGGCGCTGGCTTCATTCCAGCAGATGGGATAATGGTACCAACATTGCTGTGGAATGGTGTTGCCTCAGGGCTTCAAAGCGGAGCTGTACTTGAAGGTGGGCAAGTGCGCGGAAGGGCCTCGTCATTGAGTCTGATTCAAGAGTGCTACCGCAGCGACAACTCTGCAGCATTCAGCATCTGCAATCGGAGAGCCATTCCAAGTAGTAGTACGGCACTGCTAGCCGCTAGCCGCTGTTGACCTCGAGTTGGACCGCCGTAGGCCACTGCAGGCATCCACGATACGCTGTGCTCTTAGAGTCAGGGACAGTGGTTCGGGAGTTGGAGACCTGTACTGTAGATTGGGATGGGTGAAACTTAAAGAATGTTATGCTGCATAACAAACCTCTTCAACGTTCCACCTTCGCTCTCCTCCCCTCCTCTCACGCATCGAGTCAAAATCCGTTCGTGTGTATGGCCAATCGAGGCAGGAGTTGCTGGAAGACATGGGCTTCAGTCCGCAGAGTCTGGACGAAGTGTTGCAAGCGCAGGGCCCTTATGGGTGACATGTTGCGAGTTGTGTGACGTTGTGCGCGACAGTCACGACTCCCCACGCCCTCAAACAGTCACCTTTGTCAAGGGTTGATGTGGAGCTTCCCAAGCTGGCAGAGCGAAAGGCGGCGCTGGCTTGGCGCGTGATCCTTTCAAACCCTGTCCTTTGCAAAGCCAGCGGTCTGATCGTCCCCAAATATCGGCGCCAAGCCTACGCCCGCCTGCCCCCGGCTCCGCTCTGCAGGAGCCGGAGCATCTGGAATTTCAGACCCAAAAGCGATACCATTGCTGAAGCACAGACCACAGTGGCTCGGAAGGATGGTGCACGATGTGCAAGGACGGGGACATACGGGGACTGAAAAGGAGGTGGTCCCCACTGCACAGGTTCTTGAGGACCCTCAAGGGTCTTTTGGGTCTCTGAGGTCTTTTGGGCATCCATGGGTTCGCGGGGCCCCTTTGGATCCCCAGGCTGTCCCCTGGAGTGACAAAATGCAACAGAAATGCACAAACGGCGCCTCCAAGTGCGCGGAAGTCCTGGAGGATCCTGGAGGTAAGTATCCAGACGCCCGAGGTGTGGAGCTTCGGCGGACTTGCATCATAAGTGAGTCCAGTGCTTGTCGAGGGTGTATGTAACGAAAGTCACGGAGTGGTGGGGAAATGGCCTTCCTGGAGGATCCGCACATCCCGAAGCCACCTCCGAACGTGGTGGACAAGCTCCCACTCCAGCCGATGACTGCGGATGCGCGACTCGCAACATTCTCAGCAGTTTCAACTGCCTGTGAATGGTGGTCGCAGGGCTCTTGCATGCTGTTGCATATGCGTCTGGAGCTGCGAAAGCTTTTAAAAACATGACACGAATCAGATCCCTGGAGCAAGCAGCATTGAAGAAATCTAAGGATGATATGCAAAGGACGGGCGCCCTGAGTTTTTGTGTCCATGATGAGTGAAGCCATGTGAAGCCTATACTGTGGAGACTACAAATGCCTCATGGGAAACCATGCTCGACGCCGAAACTCTGAACTCAACCCTGGAACCCTCAAGGCCTTAAGCCCCGCCAGCCTCCCCAAATGGGTTGTCAGGAGAAACCCGTTGGGCAAAGCGGCGGCCGCTGGCAAGAAAAAGGGGCGGGCCTTGCTTGTTGAAGCGCCCACTGCCTTTTGTCTGCGAACCCACACCCTATTCAAAGAGGGGTTTAGGGTTTAGATAACTCTATGGCTCCTGGATTAGCTCCTCTACTTCCAGTTCAATGCAGGCTTCGACGTCTCGACCTCTGACTCTCGTAGATTCGGGGCTTGCCTTGCCGCAGCTTCGCAGCATTTGCGGTGTGGTTGGTGCAAAATCCCTAAACTCTAAGTAGCCGTAAAACCCCACTGTGGAAACCCTATTTCTGGCATCCTGTATGGAGATGGCAGGAAGAAGTCGAAGGCCGTGAAGCAGCCGAAAATGCGGGAGGCCTTCTACGGCAAGATCCCAGTGAAATGGAACCAGGCCAGCGCCTCAACTCAACCTCCTCCGACAAGCTCTCAGGGGGCAAGGTTCAGGGGCTCAAAAGAACTTGCACTGCGCACCGACCCGTGCTCACTTTAAGCCGGAGTGTTCATGTTCGTGTCGGAGGTCTCTGCTTGATCTCCCACGACCACCGAAAGCTGGCACATGCGAAGTTATTACGATCGGGGTTGAAAGGGACTACAAGCTCGAAGTCCCAGGTCCAATGGCTGGGGAAGAGACCAGAGCCACCGAAGGTGGTGATTCCTCCGATGTGGCCGGGACATGGGGGGCTGGAAGCTGCTCCACGAACCCTTTGAAGTCACCGCTGCCAAACAACTGTACTGTAGGAACTCTAGGAACGCAAACCTCAAGTTCTCTCTGTTTAAGCGAGGGCTTGCAGGGCACTTCTCTTTGTTCTGCATGTTCTGCCTGGCTGTGTCTGCACAGCTTCAGAGAGATGCCCTGGCAGGCAGACGGACAGCAAAGCAGCCATGCTGCAGCCAGGGACCTGTGCCAGGGCTGTGGGCACTTTCTCTGCGTGCCACGTTAGATGTTGATACCTGATGCCTCCCCTGGTGATCACATTCATTCTGACATGAGGTCGTTGGAGGATCACCTTAAGCCCTAGAAACCCTCGATCAAAAGGCGCCTGGATGATCACATCATGCAGCAGCGCGAAGAGGCAGCTTGGGAAGCCCTACGGCCGAGACATGCCGAAGCAAAGCGAAGCAAAGACTCGGGGTCGCTGTCCCTAAGCCCGGAGTTCGGTGAGAGAACGTTCGAAGACCTCTGAGTAAGACGGAGATCCGCAACCCCCTTCGGGCTCTTTTCCTTTTGGCTCCTGGCTTCCAGTGCTTCCAGCTTGAGGGCGCTGGTGGTAGAAGGGGGGCAAGCCCTTGAATCCCGAAAGGAGCACACCTGCAGCCTGCAGCCTGCCAAAGGAGTGCAAGTGGCAGCTTTAAGGGTTTCCACCGAAAGCCACGAGCCCAAGCCTCATTCATACCATCTCATTCCAAAGCCGCTCATCACTTCGCAGTCGCGGGTTGTGAACACTCCGTCTACCGGCTGGGTTCTTCGGCTACAGCTCATCGTGCCGGCCTTATGCTTGCAAAGTGTTGTTTTAAACAGTGTGTTGCGACTTTTTGCTAAACTGAGAAGTATTGAATCAAGATCAAGGATGAGCCACTGCGAGCACCTGTCTGCTCAAAGAGCGAGGAGGCGAGGTTTTGGGGTTCGAAGACCTCTGCAGCTTCCCCGCAGAGAGCACTGGCCCCCACGAGGTCACGACATTGATGGAGGCAGCGCTGACCTCCAGAAGGCTGGAGTTCGCATCTCCTACCCTGAAGTGGCCCTGCTATCCAGCAGCTAACCCGAGCCCCTGAACCCTACACAGGCTTCGGCAATATGACACTGCCATGGCTCTCCTCATCCGGGCTCGGAAGCTTTGGGTGGCAGTGGAGGCGGGGAGTGAGGGAAGCTGCTTGTATGGACGAATCCCTTGCCAATTTGTGAGCACCGAACATACCGTCATGTGCTGAGCAAAGTAGCAGTACCGCCGGAAAAGGCAAGTTCCTCCCCCTTAACCTCGTTGAGGCAAAGCAGCGAAGGGCTGAGTGGGAGGATGTACAAGCCTTGGTGCCCACGTTCCCTCCTCAGTGGGGGCAACTTAGGACTGAGGCCTGAGTCTCCTGAATTCGGAGAGAGAAATCATCTTTTGTATTTAGGAAGAAAAGCCTAGACAATGAGAGATTGCAAGAGACGGGCATGGACAGGCTGTGCGTGAGCAGTTTTTTTAGCTTGTGCGCAACGCTTTATAGGTGTGACATGGCCTTCTCTCCATGTCGCCGTGTCTATGGGGCGTGTATGTGCACGGAGGCCTCGATATTACGCAACAGGCGCGCGTGAGATCCGCGTGGATGGCGAGCACGAAGAACGTCATGTAATCGACGTCGTCTCTAGAAACCCCTGAGCCCTGAAGCGCCAGACCGAGAGGGCGTTGGATCCATCTGGGGATTATGATTAAGGGCTATTTGTAGGGAGTGCTCGGCGTTGCAAACAGTCCCACATCAGCGGTGTGAAACCAATTGGCGTGATCCGCATAACAAGCATGGAAACCCTTTGCGATCTTCTTGCAGTACTGGGATACTGGGCCATGTAACCGACCTGAAACACGCTTGACCTTTATCAATGCTATGCTGCAATGCCCATTGTCAGCAAAAGCAGGAGCAGATTTCCTAAAACCCAAAGTTCAACCTCTGAACCTTGCTGTGCACTGGGTTTGAGATTGCTCCGACCAGGTCCCAGCACTTACATCCAAGCCATGTTAGCAATCTTGAAAGGAATATAGAAAGCTCAGCCAGCGAGTTCTCAAAACAACCTTGTTCACTCCAGACTCCACCTTGGCACGTTTTGGGGCTGGAAAGCGGTGGGTTGCCGCAGCTGTCGTTGGCTCCGCTTGTTTTCAAGGCCATCTCCGTGGAGCACAAGTGCAAACAGCACGACTCCGGTAACCAACAGGCTGGCTCATGTCTGCCTGCTTTCTGCAGTGCAAGCCTCAAGCGTTCAGAGTTCTGCCTCGTAGCCACACTCACCCGTAAGCCTCGAAAGCCCTAAACTGGCCCTAAACCCCCTGAACCCCGAAACAGTCTCAAGTTCTCTGCGCCCCTAAAGCTCCGAGAAGTCAGGAACTTCGATGAGGCCTTTGGCACTGCCGAGGCTGGGAGCCCCAGCTGGCTCTTATCGGTTTTTTTCTGTTGAGTTGAGGGAGTGCAAACTTCTGTGAGGATCTGGATTGCACCATCTTTCCAGATGAGCTCTCGCGCCCACCGCCCAGCTTTGAGTTTTCCTGATCTCGTTGATGCCACGGCATAGTCATTCTATCAAACATCGCAATCGCCAGCTCGCTGAGCACCAACGGCCTTACGCTTGCGCCGAGGTGGGCAGTCAAAGGGCTTGGCCTTTGGTCGGAGCCGCACAGAGAAGCTACCATCGAAAGAGATGGGTGCCCAGCTCGGAGACTAGAAAAGAGTTCTTAGACTCTTCGAGGGACTTCCTTGCCTGGACAGCAGGTGCTGACGAAGCCATGCGCCGCAGCCAGACTGACCAGTTTGCGCACACCAGCGGTGCTCCCAGATCAAAACAGGCATGTTGCCGTCCATACATAGCCATTCCGGTTTTGAAAAGTCGCCCTGCTGCTCCAAGGCCATGCGGAGGGTGATGAAGGCAAAGCAAAGTGTTGCCTGTTCGCCCTTTCGAAATTCACCGCGAAGCAAGCACATCCTTGACGAGAACAACCTTGGCTGCAATCCGACGATGTGTCGTAGTAGAGCGATGAGGGGCGTGAACTGCATACTACTGACGGAAGTACTCTTCCGTGCTTGTATAATCTTGTATATCAGCTTTGCTGGTGCGAGGAGATGCGCTCCCCGACCGCCTCGACCGCCGTCGCCAGCTGATGGCTGCACGGAGCTCTGGGCAGGGCCGGGGAACCCAGACTTCGCAGAAGAGAAGAGCAAGCTTCGAGACAATAGTCAAGGGATTCACACAGGGAGAAGCAACGTAACATGCAAAGCCTGCATAGCCTTTGAATTTCGTTCTGTGGACCAAATTGTGGTGTTTCAGTGCATCCTTCTCGAGGCTCTGCTCTGCTCGTACCGTTTGCGTCACTGCGTGAAGATTGGCGCACAGCTCGCTCGATGTTCGCTTCCGCTGGGCCTCTCAGGAAGCACGTCGCAGCCGCAGTCGGCGCGCGGGCGCTCACCCACGGTTCGAGCATCCACTGGCAGCCCGGTGACAAGGCCAGCAGAAGACAATTTCAACTTAGCATGAATCCTCGAAACAGCGCAACATTTGGAGCAGAGCACCTCCGGCCTGGCCGGTCTCAGCCGTGGCAAATCGTTGTCATCACGGGTTTGGTAGCCTCTGCGAGGAAATACAACCCGAAGACGGACTTCTTGGTTGCTTTGGGCGACGACGAGGACCTTGAGAGGCTCCCTCCACAGGCCAGTCACTGTGAGCATGTGTCCGGAGAATAGGGTTATCTGCATATCTTTGCATCAGGCGGCCCTCTTCTTCTTCTGTGAGCTGGCATCCCTGCACTCGGCTGTGCAAGAGGACTCCTCATGATGGGCGACGTCTCCTGAAAATCTGTCGAATCACGGAAGGACGAGCTCTCTGCGCAGCTTCTGTGGCGAGCTTTGGAACACAGCCGGAGGACCCCCGGACTTACATCTCATGGGACCACAGTGGAATGTTGAGCCGCAGTGAAGCCTGTATGAAGCATGACTGGGCATGAGCACGCCAGGCTCCCTCCTCAGGATGCAAATGTGGCCATGGTCTGGAACGGCCCGAATCCCAGATCAGAGTCTTGCAGCCGGAAGAACTACGGTAGGACTGATTCGGGCCGAAAAAGCCTTGCAAACCATCTATGGACATTCCTTGTTGCGTATTGCCTTTTTTCATAGATTACTTGTGGCTGAGCACAGCACAGGCTTGGACTGCGTGCGATGATTGTGCGATGTCACAACCCTTTCTCTTGCCAAATTGTTGGCCTCGTTAGGGGGGGGGTCACGGCACAGCACCCTAAGGCCTTGGCCGAGTGGCTTTCCATGTCGGTCAATTCGAAGTTGCCACCCGCCTTCACATGCAGCCGCCTTAGCAAAGTCACGGATGGTGGCTGGCAGTTGGGCCATCGCACATGCTGTCTCGTCAGAACCTGCTGTGTTTCCTGTCTGCTTGCCGCTCACGGGCGACGCCTTCGCCCGAATTGACTCTCCATGCAGCGGCAGGCGGGCCCGAAGCATTCGCGAGAAGGCCCTGGGTGGGTCAGGGCACCCAGCTTCGTCACCCCCACAACAAAAGAAGAAGAAGTGCAGAAGTGCAGTGCAGAAGTGCAATGTAGTCTCCTCCCTTCTTCTCCCTCCTTCTCCTTCTGAGGGACACCATCGACACGGCCACCTCCTACAACAACCTGGCCTGCTGCCTGGCGGCCCTGGACCGGCACACCGAGGTCCCCTTAATTAAACCCCCATTTTAAACCCCCCCCTTTTTTCCTAAAACTTAAGAGCAGCCAGCAAAAGAGAGAGAGAGAGGAAGCGTACGGCCCCGAAAGGATGTTTGAGTGAGTCTGAACCCCAAACCCATCGAGAAAACCGGGAGGCACAGAGGGGGGATGCCAAACAGTAGCAGTTTTTGCGGAACCCCTGACTCCTGAGTGTTTTGGCCAATGAGCCGGACGTCCACTCAACACGAGATGGACGTCATGTACCAACAGACCCGAGACCAGCACGCGCCCCTGGGGGCGGCCTCCCTTCGGGGGGGTCATGCGTGGGGGAGAGAGAGAGAGAGAGAGAGAGAGAGAGGAAGGAAAGTGAGACTTTTGGGGTTTTTTCTGTGGTTTCGGGGCAGGCGGCGGCCTTCACGGAGCTGGCCGCAGAGATCCTGAAGGAGCTGGCCGGGGAGGACCGATCGGTCTGACAAAGGAAACCAGCATGCAACATGCCCGCACGCTTTCCGATAGGAAGTCATTTGGGATGTCGGGCTGACCACCCACAAACCCCTGCTTCAGGATTCCGGTTTCTGAGTTTCTCTCACGAAAGCTAGCCTCTGCCCCTTGTGAAGTTACCTACCGAAACGAAGCGTGAGCTTCCATCGGTGTGGAGGGTGCGTGGCGGGCGTGCCAGGAGAATCTGTAATCCCCAGGCTACGGTGCAGAATGGAGTATATTAATATTGCAAGTGAACTGCTCGCGTACTGCGAGAGAACACCTACACCCTGAAACCCTCTGCTCTACACACTAAACCTTAAAAGATCTGAGATTGACGGGCGACTTCAGCTCTTGCAAATGATCCGCTGCTTTACTCGGAACCCTAAGCACAACACCCGAAACCTTCAACCCTAAACCCAGGTTTTGGAGCTATCGCACTACAGTAGCTTTCGTCCCAATCCCTCACCCCCCCAATGTGGGATCCCTCATGCAGTGCGCAGCAAAAGCCAGGACCACCCCAGGACCCTGACAGCCAGCCGGAACCTTGCCAAGGCCACACTTGCACAAGCTCAACAGCGAAACGTTCAATGATACATGGATACAGTCTGCGGTTTCCGTTGCTGGTTTATTTCTGAAGAGTCTTGTGGCATGAGTGGGGCATTCATGACGAGTTGGAGTGCGCCACTAGACAAAGGGATGCCACATGGTCACCAGTGACGTAGAGCGTGCCAGGTTCGCACGGCTCCAAAGAAGATGTCCTTAGAGGCGCAGGGGCTTCTGCCGTTGTTGAAGCCCTCCACGGGCTTCAAATCTTCAAACGCCCGAGTGACGGTTGCTTGTGTAAGTCCCCAGTCCCAAGTTGCAGGCGCCTCATCTCTTCAGCTTGCCTTTGCATGTGCGAGCCTGAGCATACGTGGCAGCGGCATCGGCTTCATGTAAATTACTGTACGTGATACACTTTTCGAGATGTGCCAGGTGATCGAGAGAATTGGATGGAGCATTGTTTTTTGAGCTTTCTAGACCTGAATAGAGCTGGATGCTGCACGGATGCTGCACCGAACATGAGCCACCAAGGACTTTACCGCGGCCTTGCGCGGGTGTGCGCCCAAGAGTGCTCTTGCGCAACAGGGGTACTTGCACTTGACGAGCTCGTGGGCCTCCTTCACTGGATCGGTCTATCTGGGGTGTGCATGCGCCAGCACCTGGACACCCTTCTTTGGTTTTCTGCACTCGATAAGCCCAGGCGGCGCAAGAAAAAGAAGAAGAAGTCGCGCAGTGGGCCGCGGCCTCAGCGGGGCTCAGTCTGCTCAAGCAGATAATTGGCATTGGAATGCGTCGGCAAGCAGATGCGGGGCAAGTAAAACCTTCATGCGCACGTTGTGCCTGCAAAGCAGTAGGTGCCATTGCAGCCTTGTCCTCTTCGAACGCCCTCCAAATTCAAGTATTGACGCTAGATCAGGTTTCTGTATGTCTCCCAGGTTTTCTTGTTCTGGTATGAACTCTGCAGGTCCAGCAAGAGCAGCAAAGGCAAGCGCTGATAGCATTGAAGGATGAAACCATCAGCCTAAAATCGATGGAAGCTTCTGCTTGGCTTTGTGAAAGCTCAGTGCTTGCCAGAAGCCTATACGGCCAGTTAACGACGATCTGTGCCGAAGCACGGCGCGGGGGAAACTGGAGACTCAGTCGCCGAAGGCGCTGCGTGCAGAGCAGAAAGTTGTTTGCGGATACCGCATTCCGCTGCCGTCGCGAAGCATAAAAGAATCTGAGGCTTGGCTTGTGCACGTTGTGGGTTTTCGGGCTTGATGAGTGTAGCTTGATCAAGGACTTGAACACAGGCTACCAGGTGGCTCCCCCGAGACTTGTGAGGCCCAAACTGACACCGGCCCAATCTGCCTGACTTATGTATGCCTGACTTCTCCAGAGAAGCAAGGCGAATAACTCATCCTGCAGACGTTTTGGAACCAGCATGCGGCAGTTGCTGATTTCAGCTAAGTAGCGCTTGCGGCAGATCGAGCGCCCTCGTTGTGCAAGCATGAAGTTCTTGTCCATGTGCTGGTTCTGCTGCGCCGCCGTGGTCGCACAGCCACTGGCAAGACATTCTCAGCCTGTATCTCAGTGGCGAATGAATTCGCGGAACTATCTACAAGCTGGTGACGCCCGTTCCTTTGCGGTTAGTGGGCGCACGGGTGATGCCGACGAACTACTTTGCAAGGTAGGTTCCGTCATAAGCGCCGGCTTGCCAGGCCGTTTACCTCGCAAGGAGTTGTTTGAAGCTCATGCGGTGGCCACGCTGGTGAAGCTGGGCCAAGATCAAAATGCTCTTTGGGACTTTAAGAATAGCATAGTAGTCAGTGGTCTTCCCCTGCCTTCGCACCGGTTGCAGCCCCGTCCAGGTCGGTGTTGTTGAGCGGCGCATACAGCTCTGCGTTCTGCATTATCCTGCATGCAGACCCAGACATGCCCAGACTTAAAGGCCCAAAGACGACCGTGGAAGGCGGCCGACTGATCGAACCCACGTAGGGTTTTCGCAATAGTGCTTTCGTTTACATTGAGGGTCTTGGTATGTTTTCGCGATTTAGTCCGTTGTGCTTGGGGGGATGATGAGTTTTGAGCGTTGTAAGTTTGATCACCAAGGAATCGCCACTTCCCTTCGGAGCAGAGTATTCTGGAGCCCTGCGCGGGCTGTGGCCTTCTTGCAGTGTTTCTGGTTCTCTTGAATCGACTGCGTCATGTGCGATGCTCAGACAAGAAGCGACCGCGGATTGCACGTGAACTGGCGCAGTGTGTAGAGAAGGAATGGCCGTTTCTTGCCCATCAAATCCGATGGGAAGAAGCCGATCTGCGCAAGACGACTTTGAAAGTCGCGCCAAACGAACTCCTGGTTGCCTGCCATGCATGCAGCTTTCTTTCTGACGAGATGATTTTGGCTGCAAAAGAGAACCGAAGACCTTTGGTTCTGGTACCTTGCTGCTATGAGACTGAGCCGAATCTACCCGATCGTCCGTGGCTGCCAAACTGGTCCTGGAAGAGGTGGCCTTGGCTGCAAGAGGGTGCTGCCAACCGACTCGGACGCTCTGCCATCCACTCTGCTCGCATGAATGTTCTGCAAGATGCAGGCTACCATGTAGTTCAAGATGAGATCGGCAGACAGATCACCGACATGAATGGTGTCATCGTAGCCTGGCCCAGAGCTAGAAACATGGTCCCAAAGCGCCTCGCACTTTATTTACTTTGCTTATTACTTGTACTTCATGACCTCTGCACAACTTCACTAGTTCTACTGTAGTCCTTCGTGAAGATGTTTAAAATTCTGCACTCGGCAGTTACATGTTTTAAGGGGTTTATTTGCACCACAGGTGATGATTCATAGAGTTGCATAGACGTGAAAATGAAGGTGAAATGAATGAATTTTGTGAACGAAATGAAGTAGATTAATTCATGAATCTGTCTTTGGCCAAGAGAGAAAATGGAAGGAACCCAAATCCCAGAGTCGCAGCCAAAAGAGTGAACCGCGCGCTGCATCCGGCTCCGCGCAGGCCACAGCCGAAGCCACCTGTCACCGCCGCCAAGACGAAGAGCCAGTCGATGGGTGGGCGTTCCAGGTATCACCTGGAAAAAGTACTTTCCTAGTTGCCATTGCCGGCCATTCCACCCGACGAAGTCGTGGTCTCATAGTTTGGGCAGGAATTTGGTTGTCACGTTCACCCACAAGTATCGATTTTTTAGGTATGATTGAACGAACAAAATGAGTTTCTGAAACAGAGCGACACTCTAGGCCCCCACAGAAAACACAGATAACGTAATCGAAGTCCAAATCAGACAATTTGCTGCACGGTATTCCACATGAAATTCACCGGGCGTCAAGCGCGATGCAAAGCCTTCAGAATTATTATTAAAGCGGCGCGTGGTGAAGAGTTAGAGGGTTTTGGAAAGTCCAAACCCCAAGCCCTAAGTTGTTTACAGCGGACTTTCACGCCATTTATGGCGACAACGCTGCCCCTTAATTATCCGACACTTGGCTTGTTTTCGGGTCTGCTGCGCGAGCGTTGGGTTGGGGGATGTTGGGCGTGTTGGGTTTGGTATTTCGTTGTTGTCAGACAATGGTTTGATAAGCCACAAAAAGTGCGTTGCCCACGTCTTCCGAATTTGCGCTGCATCTACTCAGCTATGATGTGTGCAGGCAGGGAGGGGTGCACCATTGCAGACTGTTTCGCCGGCCGCAGAGCTTTTCAGCACGTGAAAGTTTGCTGTCAAGATGCTTGCAACCAGAACCAGGCATTTGCAAGCTTCAGATGCACAGGAGGCGTAACAGGGGACTTGGCACTGTCAGGGGGGTGTTTCCCTACCGCACCAAGAAGCTGCTTGGTCTGTTGGGAAGACAGCGAAGCCATCCAGCGAACAGCGCCTCAGGTCCTGGACATGGAGAGAGTGGGGCCACGCTTTTCGTCATGGTCACAAACATTTCTGCTCACCTCGATCTCAGAGACGTCTCGATCTCGAAAGTGGGCCACCCCAACCGTGACAAGCTAGTCGTTGAACGCTCGTGTCAGACTCTATTGCCTTTGCTGGCTTCATTGAGCAACATATTTTCGCGAGCCTCCAGGTGGAAGACCAGACTCTGGACCTGGCCCTGCCAGCTACAACCTGCGTAGGTGGCTCATCTTCTTGCGACAGTGAAGACGGTCAAGATGACTTTGCCGAAGGGGCTGGGTCTCGCTACGGTCAGCAACGTAACGCTGGTAAGCAACCCAGTGCTGGTCAGGTCAGCAACCCAACACTGCTCACCACCAAGGCGGCCGCCGCCTGCACGCTTAGGACGACAATTTCCCAGCAATCTGCTATGTGCGCGAAGGCTCTTGGGCCTGCGTGGTCGAGAGTCTGCTTGTCGCTCTGGGCAGGGGAACCATTGGCAAAGTCGGGAGTTGCTTCTACGACAAGTGGCAGGCAGCCCTCAAATTCACAGCAGATCCGAGCCTCAACGACGAGATCATGAGAGAGGCTGAGTACTTGAGGTAACATCATCCCCACATCGTGTGCACATACCACTCCGAAAATACGTCAGCGCCCAGCAAAATCCACGATTGTACTCGCAGTCATGCTGAGGGAGCGTAGAGCCGCTAACGCCTGTTTTTGGGAGGCAATTCTTGAATAAGTTTTTGTTTTAGCATCGATGGCATCATGGTAGCTCATCGAATCGCAAGGTTGTACGATCCACGCTCGCCACCCCAGAGCACTTACGTTCGAGATTATGGACTCGTGCAGACATGACGCCTTCGAATTCGGGATCACGCTTGGGTGCATCTATATGGGCGCTGGCCTTGATCGATTTCGACGTAGTATCTAGCCCGTATGATGACATTCATCGACGACTGATTAGCGTTTCTTACGAAAGAATGGAAGTTGGTTCTAGCGAAGCGTGTTCCTCTTTGAAAGTCTCTACATTAGAGGAAGGAGGAAGGTTGTAATGTCATCGGGGCTTCGGTTTAAGACGTGAAAAACATTTGCTTGGGAAGGATACGTTCGCTTTGGTGCCTAAGCCGCTTTGATGATTGGAACTGAACACTGGTTCAATTAATGAAATTTGTGAAACGTAATTTTATCCCATCGGTCGATAGCCTTTCGAACACGATGTGGCACAACCGAGTGAGCTGTTGATAGGGCGGCTATGAAATTAGCTCGCGTCTTGAAGTTTGCAAGATCGTGTTTATTATTCAGATCACCAAATTTTTTTATTTCTTGTTTGGTTTCTTAATCTCTTCAACGTTGAGTTCACGATAGTTGGCCAGTTTTGGTTTGAGTTTGTATAAGTGAAAGAGATGACTAATAGATAGATTTCCGTGAGATGGTTTGTTTTTCTAATAGCGTGTTTGGGTTTAGTTTCAGGATTATAGGGCGATTTGGGTTAATTAGAAGAGTATTTAGATTTTTTTTGCGTTTACGTAATCGGAAATGATTGTTTATATTTTCATTAAATTTCATGAATGAAGATTATCGGCTATGTTTCTCTATTTTCTTAATTAGCTTTTTATTATTCATGGATAGGAGTCAGTGCGTTCAAATAATAAGGAAATTAGAATATTTAATTTCGCGGTCGGGAGCCGAGAGTTATTCGGAAGTTTGGGTTGATGGATAGATTCAAGATATTCTGAATCGAAT